TATATGTAACATATGGCCCGTATATGTAAAATACAGCCCGTATATGTAACATACAGCCCGTATATGTGAAATACAGCCCGTACATGTAAAATACAGCCCGTATATGTGACATACAGCCCGTATATGTAACATACAGCCCGTATATGTAACACATGGCCCGTATATGTAAAATACAGCCCGTATATGTAACATACAGCCCGTATATGTAACATATACAGCCCGTATATGTTACATATGGCCCGTATATGTAAAATACAGCCCGTATATGTAACATATGGGCCGTATATGTAACGTATGGTCTGTATATGTAAAATGCAGCCCGTATATGTAACATACAGCCCGTATATGTAACATATGGCCCGTATATGTAAAATACAGCCCGTATATGTAACATACAGCCCGTATATGTAACATATGGCCCGTATGCGTAAAATGCAGCCCGTATATGTAACATACAGCCCGTATATGTAACATACAGCCCGTATATGTAACATACAGCCCGTATATACGGGCTGTATTTTACGTATACGGGCCATATGTTACATATACGGGCTGTATGTTACATATACGGGCTGTATGTTACATATACGGGCTGTATTTTACATATACGGACCATATATTACATATATACGGGCTGTATGTTACATATACGGGCTGCATTTTACACATACAGACCATATGTTACATATACGGGCTGTATGTTACATATACGGGCTGTATTTTACATATACGGGCTGTATTTTACATATACGGGCCATATGTTACATATACGGGCCATATGTTACATATACGGGCTGTATTTTACATATACGGGCCATATGTTACATATACGGGCTGTATGTTACATATACGGGCTGTATGTTACATATACGGGCTGCATTTTACATATACAGACCATATGTTACATATACGGGCTGTATGTTACATATACGGGCTGTATGTATCTTTGGACTTTTATACAATGCCAATGTGTAAATATTTATCATTTTTGAGCGTCCTTTCTGCATTTTAGCAATCTAGCATTGCGCAATAAGGATTACGTAATGTTATCAGATAGCCCGTATATGTAACATGCCCGTATATGTAACATGCCCGTATATGTAACGTAACGTTACCACCCCTGCTCCGAATTTTAATGGATGATTGTAATGAAATAACCCGTGTTAAACATATTTTATGATAAATGTGCCCTAATTTTCTTGAATTGTTCTAGCGTTTGCCCGAATTTTCTTGGCTATTCATAGTTTTAGGAGGGGGGGGGGCTCCTTATTGCCGCCCCTTGCATACCGCTCTGTCTCGCACGCCTATGCATGTACAAGTATATAAGCCCTTTATGCACACATCTTAATCACAATTCTATTTCCGATTTTATCGCTTTAGCACATTGTGGTCTTCTCAAGTTCTTAACAAGACCTACTTGTTGACATTTTTTGCGTTACTGGAAAAGAAGTGCTTGATGAAACAGCATGTTCAGGTTCCTAGAAGTAGATATAAAATATTTTACTTAAATGCTGCTCAAATGCTCAATCTCCCCAGTTCACTGATCTCCCCCCACCCATGTCCTCATGGTTTATGGGAAAGTCTGATGAATTTTAATGGCTTAAAAACAAAATGGCTTCATATACTCTTGCTTACGCCATGATTAGCCTACGCTCGTCGACGTGTTGGACCCCTGAAATTAAAACATTGAAAAAGATAAAAAATAAACAAATATGAAAATATTACCGAAAATATAACACATTACGATACACAAATTCGAAAGTTATTAAAAGAAAGTGTGTGCGGAAATTTTTTTATTCTTTCCCCCGCTCGACAACAATTTTGGGGAAAAAGATTAATTGGCGATTTAAATATTTCATGTTTGATTAGTAAACCCCCCACCCAATCTTGATCAGTGGCGTAGGAACCTGGGGGGGCAGGGGGAGCCAAGCCCCCAAGTTCTCCAAAGTGCCCTTTTTCCGACAGCAAAGTGCCCTTTTCTTGCGTGAAAAATGTCATTCAAATTGCATTTTTTGCCCAAAAGGCACTTTTGAAAACTTGAATTTATGTTATTTCGGGAAAATTTTTTCATTTCTGGGAAAAGTATCATATTTCCGGAAAAATGTTTGGTGTGTCCGGAAAATTTTTTCAATTTTAGAAAAAAATGTGATATATACTGAAAAATTTTTGATAAGTCCGGAAAATTTTTTTGAGATGACCTCCCCCGCCCCCCCGTCGCCAACATTTTCGTGAAAAAATTTTTAGATGCCCTTTTTATTCGAAAAGTGCCCCTCAATACCTGTCCCCCCAACTTTTAGATGCTTCCTACGCCCCTGATCTTGATCCATCCGTCACTCGGGCTGTGCCCGATCGCGATCAGACGTTGCTGATTCGTCGTCCTTTTTAAGACGCCAGCACGTCCCTGACTACATGCACTAGACAAACAAATACATGGTTGGAAAATACAAACAAAAAAAAAACATTAATTGAATTATTTTTATTATGATGCCATTAGAAAGTTGGTCAAGTTTTGATAAACTCTGCATATAAAGAGTTTGAACATATTCTGGCTATATACTTACTGTTTCGAGTGAAAGTATTATGTAGTGATCAAAATTTAATTTTCTCTTTAAACTCTTTGCATATTCTTCTGAATCAACAGTTTCGAGCAACTCGCAATTTTCTTGTCCTCTAAAAGTCGCGGTTTTATTGTAGTTAGCTGAACTGCATGGTTCCTCTTCAAGTACCGCACATTCCATGATGCAATCCTGTCCAGACTTTGCGTGAACACGTTTGATCACCTTAGACTCAACGTCCAAACGATAACCTATCAAATGATAAAATAAGTAGTCGAAAGATTAAAGAAGGTGATTACCCTATTAGCGATTTTTATGGTTTCTTATTGATGTTTTTCAAATCCCACTTCTAACATTAGCCATATTTTTTAGTTCAAGCAAGTAAGAATCGGGTCCTCATATTGCCGCGCCCGCGAATATTGCTGGATTTTCGATATGAAGATGTCGACCTTTCAATCATCATTTGAATATGCAAAAAGCAAAATATGCTAGTGCTAAAATAATTTAATGACAGTTCTATTGTGGCTATAAGTGAAATATATAGAGGATATAAACGGTTGCGAGGAGATATGGATTTTACAGTGTTCGAGTGGCCATGGCAAAAACAATATCATGTGTTCCAAGCTCGTCGCGGGCAAAATGGTTCTCAGAATGTCGAGTTGGTATATTTTTAGTAGTATATCCAACATATATCGTATTTGTAGTTTTCGCCGCTGTCTTTACAATTGTTGCTCATTCATTTGTTATATAGTCTGTATATATATAGATGTAGCTATTTAACATATGCTTGCAGCGACCGGTATAAGCTTTATCCCGTTTTGAGTAAATTTAAAATTGATAGCAGCACTTTGCAAATACCAAAAATGACTGAAAAGCGCAAGTCAGAATTAAAATGAAAGTACTCCAAATTTGAAGATTAAATTTTATAAGCTGTGCATGGCATGCAATAACCTCCCTTCCTGAACACAGGAACGCATATGCACGTGTGCACATGTCAAGACTCGTCCTTTTCCAATTTTCCGTTCGTTTTGTACTAAAATTTAGTTTTAAAAATAGCATCAGTGAAGCCACAGTTTTCAAAATAAGGTGTACCAAATTTTCAGCCTCATCTGAATTTTGATCTACTCGTCAAGACACCTGCCCGAACCAAATTTAGCAGTATTTCATTTACACCGTTCCTATACGGTCTTAATACTCCTAATTTCTACCTTAAAAGATGCGATATTAAAAGATGCGATATACAGACGTTGCATGCGGTGTTTCGCCCATAGTTTACTGAAAATATTGCACCTCTTGGCGCTCACATAAATTTCATGTATCATAAACTGATGTTAAAGATGATTCAAGGGTTTTTATAAATTTTGCGGGTAAATTTAAAGTTCTCAAAACCCACCTCTCTTGGATTGGTCGAAACAGAAGTCGAGCTCTTCTCCAAATGATTGCAAATTCAATATTATCATGAACCAAAAACTCAGAACGATAGCAGCAAAACGTAGATTCCATGAGTGTTTACAAGGCTCACGATAAATTTCATTTGTCATCTTTTGTTGAATAGATGTCATTTCTATGTCTCTTGCTCTTCGGCATGAACTTACTGGTCGTTTTAGTATATATTAATTATTATCAATACCAGACTATAGAAAGACTTATTCGTGCATCACTATACGCTGACTGAAATGGATTAAATTTCCAACAATCGAGAATTGCCTGCTGCAGCTATATAACGCTGTGCATACAAGTAGAATGTCATAAAATGAAGTGGTTGGCGTGGAAAATAAAGCGTTTAATTTAATATATTGTTTTGCAGTTATGATTAAGTATTTGTTTATTTTATATTGTTCTCTTTGTAATGGACATGCATTTGGCTTATTTTTATCAGTAACATAAACAAATTAAAAATTAATTATAATCATACAATGCAGACTATAGACAGACGTCATTATATTGACTTGTTACAGCGAACAGAAAGACATATTCGTGCGTCATTATACGCTGACTCAAATAGAGTTAAATTTCCAACAATCAAGAATTGCAGGTAGAGCTATATATATAAAGCTGTGCATACAAGTAGAATGTCATAAATGAAGTAGTTGGTGGGGAAAATGAAGCGTTTAATATTGTTTTGTATATGACTAAGTATAATGGACATGCATTTGGCTTATTTTTATAAATAATGTATGCAAATTAAAAATTATTTAGAAACAGAAACTTATTCAGCGATTATACCTTTTCATAATATGAGCAATTAAAATGAGAGATAGACAACATGTATGATATATTTGTATAAGCGTCGATATACTGATGACCAAATTATCTAACCGACTGATCAGGGCCTATTCTAAGGAAATTTCAATACTGCACACTTCAGAGAAGGTGTCATGATTGACGTCATCTTTGAATTATATATTTTTTTATATAGAACATAGTGAGAACATACAGGGTGTCCCAAAAAAGTAAACCTTTTCAAATTCAAATCAGGCATAACCAGTTGCAGTAATTCGCTGATGCGACACAAATGACAATCTCGTTCCCAGGCTCTTCCCTCATGTGGAGGAAAGAAGTCCACCGGCTTTTCTGGACATGGAAATATTGAATATTGGAATTATTACTGAAACTTGGCATATATTTGGCCAATCTTTGTTTGTGCCTTTACTCATTTTGTTGCAAAGACATTTTGGAATTCTCGACTTTATATTTCATCTACTTCGCTTCCTAATGCAAAGTTGAAATTTATTTCAAACTTCAAATTTCAATACTGCACACTTTCGCATTCAATACTGCACACATTTTATTCCATACTGCACAAACTGTGCAATACTGCACACTAAAATAGGCCCTGCGACTGATAATATATTTGATCCCGCTTTGACAGTACAAGATAAGTACTAGTGGCGGAATAATTTTGATGTAGCCTACTAGAATAGTTAAGTCGCATGCATTTCATGGTTCAGCAAAATTGCGTGCATTTTTCTAGTGATAGATCATAGTATAATTGCAAACGAACTTTTATAATCTTCTTGAACTAGGTGATCTTTTCGCCGACATTTCATTATACCCTTAACCGACGTTTGAACATTCCTTAGAAATTTATTTCAATATGCCAAAATCATCCATTATTCCATCCCGTCCCGGCATGCATGCATGCATGCCGAGATCTTGTACGTAAAAAAACCACGCAGTATTTTAAGCTCGTCGCGGTGGCCGCTCTCACTGGTAATGGTGCCCGCTGTAGTTCTCGTGTTGATATATTTTCAGGAGTATATCCGGCATAGTATTGCATGGTAATTATGCATGTATCGCTCACGTTATTACAATCGTTGCTCATGGATCCATTTGCTATACTGCCTGCATACTATATAGATGCATTCAAAGTATGCTTTCCGCGAATTACAAAGTTGTATATTTTGCCGGTATTAACTTTATTCCGTTTTGAGTAAATTTTAAATTGACACCATTGCATGCAGCGTTCTGCAAATACCAAAATTTAGGTTAAATTTTAGACGCAGTAGTATGCAATACCTCGCTTCGTGAACGCAGAAAACTTAATAGGGAATATGTATGAAATTTGTTGCCTTGGACGGCTATGTATGCTTGTCAAGCCTCGACCACGTTCAATTTCCCATTTATTTTGTACCAAAATTAATTTTAAAATAGCGCCATTGAAGCCACAGATTAAACCGACAAAATTTTGACCTGTTCTTAATTTCCAACATGCAGGGGCCGATTGTATAAAAAAGCAGTAATTAACTATAGTTTGTGCAAATGTTAACTAATCAAGATCGCATATTTTAGAATTATACTGATAATTATTATAATACAAACTATTATTTAAAACGGATAGCTAAAATGTAGTTATCCGGTCTTTTATACAACAAGTCCCTGCTCATTAACATTAAAGTTCTAATTTTTCGCGTGCCAGGCCAAAATTAATATCCTTTAAATATATTACTAGCTAGGTAAACAAAAATCGAACCCTTCTCCAAATGATTGGAAATTCAAAGATAAATGAACCAAAAACTCAGAACGATATGACCAAAACGTAGATTCCAATTTTTACTAGGCTGACGATAAATTTCGATTTCCATGTTGTGTTGAACAGGTGCATGTCATATATATGCCTCTTGGTCTTTGGTTAATTTAAACTTGCTGTTCGTTTTAGTATGTTAATTCTAATCAATACCATACTTGTTTCAGCATACAGAAAGACTTATTCGTGTATCAGTATACGCTGACTGAAATAAATTAAACTTCCAACACTCGAATTAATTGCCTGCTGCATCTACAACGCTGAGCATAACTAGCTACAATCTCATAAATGAAATGGTTGGCGGGGAAATAAAGCGTTTAATTTAATATTCTTTTGCAGTGCGCCTAAATATTTGTTTATTTTAATAGTTCTCTTTGTATGCAATAATTAAAATTTCCCATAGTTTTAATCTCTACACAATGAGCAAATTTAAAAATTCACGAGAAATAGAAACTTATTGCAAAATGCTGGAACTATTGCCTTTTCATAATATGAACGATTAAAATGAGAAATCGACAATATTTATGTTTATTTATGCATCGATACCGACGACCAAATTATTCCAACGTACCGATGACCAAATTATTCCAACGTACCGACGACCAACTTATTCCAACGTATCGACGACCAAACAATTCCAACGTATTGACGACCAAATTATTACAACGTACCGACGACCAAGTTATTCCAACGTATCGACGACCAAATTATTCCAACGTACCGACGGCCAAATTATTCCAGCGTACCGACGGCCAAGTTATTCCAACGTACCGACGACCAAATTATTCCAACGTACCGACGAACAAATTATTCCAACGTACCGACGACCAAGTTATTCCAACGTACCGAAGAACCAAATTATTCCAACGTACCGACGGCCAAGTTATTCCAACGTACCGACGACCAAATTATTCCAACGTACCGACGACCAATTATTCCAACTTACCGACTACCAAATTATTCCAACGTACAGACGACCAAATTATTCCAACGTACTTTTCATCCTCAGCTGTTTTTTGCTTACATACAATAGCGTTCTTTTAAAATTTGCCCTTCGATAAATATTACCTCTTGTTTAATTAATATAGTTGTGACTATATAAAGACAAGACATTTAAGAACATGTAAATATATATATTTAATATTCGTGGAGGAAGGAAAATCCGATGGAAGAACATGCAATAATCAGGGCCTTTCCTAGACCGCGCGATAACTGAGGGAGGAAGTATATTCATATATTCATGTTCACGTACCGTAAAAACAATCGCTTTCAAAAGAAATCCGTCGGGCAGAACACGAATATATGAATATACCCTCCTCCCCCAATTATCGCGCTAGGAACGGCCATGGCAATAATAAATTAGTATAGGTTGAATTGTGGAATTGTCTGTCATTTTTGGCGAAAGGTTAATTGCTATATGATTATAAAGACAATTTAAAAGCATATAAAAATTTAATATTCTCGAAAATTTGGTGTAAACTGACTTGTAGTTGAAGTTTAGGAAACGCCTGTCTTATTTTTCGGTGAAAATTTTGCTAGTCATAAAAAATTATTTACAAGAATAAAAATGTAATATTCTCGAAAAAACGTGTGAACGCGTACTTGCAGTTGGAATTGTGGGTTCATCTGTAATAAGAGTCACTTTCGTTATGGGAGATATAATTGGAGATTTCAGTATAAACCTGGGTTGTACGTATCCTTCCCGTATGGACTGATAGTAGACATCCTGTGTGATTGAAGAAAGCTCGGGTCGGAGCAAATTCGTTTAACACTCTATTCGATAAATCATGGTTTTAACCTAAGATGGTGCCTGTATTTCTCGGTTTAGGCTACATTTTTGCGCTCAAAATATATAAATATTGCACCGCCTTAAATAACTGGACTCACGTCCAATATCCTTAACATGCAACTTCGCTAAATATATGGAGGGATTTTTCTGTGAGAGACTTGACTTCTATCACAGCCGACACGAAAAATTGATCCCCGCAAGTTTCCTCGCAATGGCCACTCCATCACAGACGCGCTATTATCTCTTATTCTATCCGTTTAGGAGGCCCTGAAATGCTTGTGCTCGTTTCTTTTTTGCTCACTTTAACAAAGGGGGTTCGACTGTAGTGACCACCTTGTTCTCATTCAGGAGCGGATAAAATTTGATATTCGCCTTACTTAATGATTAACGCTTTCCTTGCCAATAGAAAAGAGGCTGCCAGAATAGGGGGAATTTTGTCGGATTGGAAATCTCAGAAAGGTGATATAATTTTGGAAATTAAACTTGGTGTTATTCTTTTCTCGATTATGATCAATAATCTAATATCTGATTGGCATTTATTCCATTTAAGGACAAAATTTGTCGATGACACAGCTGCACTAAAGTTTTTTTCCCAGGAACTCAATTATAGTTATCTGAACAATACGGTAGATAAATTACATCAATTCTCTATTAAAGGGAAATGGCAATATCAATTTTTATTTTCTCATTTGAAAGAACTTTTGAAACTATTTAATAACTGAATTTACCGATTCTTCATATCTTGCCTAGTCCTTGAAATATTTTCACTTGATCTGAAGTAATGAGGTGTCCGCAATCTTGGATAAATTTTTTATCTAATTCACGGTAGTTTTGGTGACGTCACAACAGGGATTAACCATATAAAATGATTCGTTGCTGACCAATTCAAATATTTATTGGCAGATGTTTTAAACAATTTAATTTTAAAATTGGGTAACCAAGATTTTGTCTAGCTCATAGGTTGGGTAAAAATATTTATGGCTGTCCATCAACTAAAAAATAAAACCAATATTACCATGCATTGGAAAATATGAAGAAAAATGTGTACAATACATTCTGTATCAAAATAGACCATCCGTGATTGATGAATGACGTGTAATCTTGTGTGTTTAATTATTATGAAGTACAGTAACACATGGGTTGGGTAAACATTATTTTGAGCAATGTTAAGATTAGGGTCTGCGGGGGGGGGTCGTAGTGTCCTAAATAACTGATAAATATGGATCAAAATAGCTATTATTGCGGTCAAAATGTTACAAAATACCTAAAGCAATCAGAAGCTGTATACAGAAGCTGTATAACATTTAAGTAAATATACAGTATAAATACCCATTAGATCTTGTATACCCAAAACTCCATGGCCGACCCAAAAGATTGGGTAAATAAAAAATTTACAGTGTTTTTCGCTTCTCTTCGGTATCAAACCCAGGTATAAATAATGAACGGTCCAAAGTGATCTTGATATTTCGAAGGGCAGACAGAGTATAATTTTGAGTGCAAAATCATTTAAGTGTTTGTCTATAGATAAAAATATTGCGTGTCCTCTGTTGTGACGTAACATGCATATCTACAAAAATCAAAATGTTGGCTTACAGTTAATTTCTTTCGATTAGAATATTTGTAGAAGTAAGCAAGATATGAAAAAGCGGTAAAAGAGTTTTATATATGGTTTTAAAAGTTCTTTCAAACGAGAAAATAAAAAATAAATTTCCAATTCCATTTAATCGCAACACATAAAAAATATATTATTAATATGAAGAAGAAAATTATCACCTGCACTTTATGCTCTCAAATTAAAAACTAAGATGAGTGAATTCAGGAATAGCTTACGAAGTGGGCAAAACGATACTGTTTTGTTTGAGAACACAATCAAATGCAGAACTTTAAGATCACAACAAATTTTTATTTTTAAATAGTTTTAACAGTTATATGCGCTCATTCATTTTTGTATGAATGAGAACGTGTAATTGTTAAAATTTATGTGCAATATGTTGGTATAAAGTGTTGTATTGGGGAAAATCTCAGTTTATTCAGTCTAAGGCCGCAAAAGATCTCCGGGTAATTACCGCAAATAGTATAGGTAATGAAAATAAAATAACGGATTTTAACAGAATTTCAAAGAAATTTAGCTATATGCAATATGCAAACACTGAAGCCTGTTTCAAACGTCGCGCTTCTCACGCGCCGAACGCCGTTAAAACAATTATAGATAATCAGCTTAAAATTAATGACTCATTTTGTATTGTATTCGGCGCATGAGAAATGCGACGTTTGTATAACAGGCCTGATAATACATATGCATGCGAATAGCGAACATATATAAAAATTCCGCCACCTTTCTGGGCCTTTCTGGTGTTTGTCAGTACACTCAGATTACAAGCTACGAAGGTTAGAAAAAGACAGATTGCAGAGATTCATTAAGGGTATTTAAAACACAGAGGTTCAGACTGGTATATAAAGGTGTTCATGCATGAAGGTTCGTAAATACCTGTTTATTTTACAAGCATACGAGTCAAAATATATTCATACATCATTGCATGTGTACTTTTATCGGTTCTGAAGCACAAGGTTTCTGTGTTCGTTGACGGTAAAAAAACATCATCAAGCGGGGGCAGATGTAGTATCAACTATATTACTAGTAGTAATACTTTAACTTTTTAATTCAGTGTAAATATTGCAAGAGAGTTCCGATCAACATAAATTATTATAATAACAACTAGCGATGGCGAGTAAAATTGGACACGAAGAGGCGGAGCTAATTCCACTTAAACTAGTACTCAGATCACGAGGTCGTTGCAGTTCTGTTATTCAGAACAAAAGGCACGGGAAATTTTTAAAATATAAAATAAAATCTTCCTTGGTCGATCGGAAAATACTCAAACTTCGTAGTTAGAAACAAGTGAAACCTCTTTTGATAAACCTCTCTCGGCTTTGGGGTACATTTAATCACTAACTAAAAGCCCTGAATGCCATTCTATTACTTATAAATACCTTACGCTGTTCTAATTAGATTGAAACAAGTACGAACATATTCAGGGTGTCCCCCAAAAAGCCAAAACTATTAATGCAGCTTAGTCCCAGACCCTCTCTCTATTCACTGCTTTGATATATTTAAATAAGTCTTGAAAGTTTTATGCCTGGGTGTGCTGTTCGGAACGCTTCACCGAGAGAGCCTAGCAGATTTCGGTAAAATGGTCCCTGATTTCAAAAAAGTGGTCCCGGGCCTGGTTGCCAAGCATACCGCATTTGTAAACAGAAAATGTTATCGAAATTTCCTTTGCATTTATAATTAAGTCATTAGTTTTGCTCTTGTGCTGTCGGAACAATGAAATAGGAATAACGGGCTAAACATGACTCGTGTTTACTAAAATATAAAGCCATATTAAATGCTATCTAAAAGCTTGAAAATTATGCCGAGTTTCCGACTAAAAATGTTTGATAACACAGTCATGTCAGGCAAATATTTCCAATCTCCTCAGCTACTTAAACCTGTCAAGTAGAAAGCGTAGTTGTGTTTACCAGTATCGATCAAGTGCTGATCACAACTTGCGAGTATATAAATAACATCAACGATTATACGACCATTGGCATTGCTCAGACTCAGTATCGTAAATTTGTATATAATTTTTTTTAATTGAGCACATTTTTAAATTAATACAGTTTGAATTTGGTTATGTAGACATCGAACATGATCAACGAATATTGTCATATTTACAAAGTTATTTGTATTTATAAATTTTCCGCCATATTAAAAGTACGGAAATCTGCTAGGCGTTCTGAAGCACCTTTAGCGGTGACATCACACCTAGGTGCCAGCCTCGTACTACATCCACGTTTTTTCTAGCGCTTGCTTCAGAACAACTGGGACTAGGCTGGAAATAATGCAGTATTAGATTTTGAATGCCTCAACACTCTGCTTGATTCACGTATACAGGGTGCATAAAATAAACTGAACCCTTTCAAATTCAAATTAGCTATAACTTATTGTAGTAATTTGACAGCTCTAATTGCCTTGAATTAATTGTTGGGTAAGAACACAAGGAATACTGTATTTCTTTTAAATTTTCTAATTTTTATTTCTTTGAGTTTTGTCCCATGAGTACAAGACCTAGTGTTCTTATCCAACCAT